CGGCATTCCGACAGGTATCACTTCATCCTCCAAACACCTGTTTAACATATGTGTCATTTGATCAACGATCTAATTCATGGAACAGCAGAACGCCGAGTATCGATGTCGCATATCAATATCGACAGTAACGTTCGACGTTTTCCTCTGTCATTTAAAAATGACAGTAATCTGTCCTCATAAGCACGTTTTTTTTATTCGTCTTCTCCGTTTAGGTTAATATTAAAATCTGCGTCACGTATGTAGCAGTTAGCACGGTTCTAAACACGTTTTACTTTAGGTTAGGATTCTTTTTCCTTTTCGAATCGATAAATATTTGTTTTAAATGCGCCTCCTGCATTTTATGTTCTCCGCTTTCTCACCTCGAGATCTAAGTTATAGCTACGTGATATTTTTTAAGGAATAAAATAAGTAGAGAAATTGTCCTGATTTGCTAAAATTTATACACTTGGCGAGTAATTGTTTCAATAATATTTAACGTCTGTTTCTACCAATGTAGTTTAATTTTAATCTCGATTCAATTAACTCTTCATCTCTTTCTAGTTTTAAAAATTTGAAAAAGAAGAGTAAATTGAACCGAGATTGAAGTTAATCTACATTGGACAGCAGATTCATTATCTCGAGCGATAAACGGTAACTAAAAGTTTGCGTTACGTTTGAGACGTATAGTATCGTTGATTTTGGAGGAAGGCAGATAATTAACTTTCGATAAGCAGATATAAGGAGCATCGAATTCCGACGCACGATATTTAACGCGCATGTCATTTTATTCACTATATATATATATATATATGACATTTAATTTTCTGATTTTTAAGTTTATTGATTTTTTTATTACAGTAAAAAAATTGTAAAACTGCTATTTTATCAAAATGATAACGATAACGTTATTTGCTGAGTAAAGGAAAGTAATGTTAGAATAGACTCATACAAGTCATAATGTGTGTGAAATATAGTATTGAGGAAAAATTGTTCCAATATTGTATCGTTTATATTATTTATAACAACGCACCCTAGAAAGTTAAAATAATAATCAATAATGCAACACGCCTTAATGTTAAATAATAGCGATCGATGCGATTATGATAAATAAAAATTTTATTACATTTTCTCTGAGAAGAGGTACGAGTTGAATGAGATTCGAAGCATTGTGAAAAAATGAGTTTATTTAAATAGAGATATTTCCCTTCAAAAGGGAAGAAGACATTTAAAAAACTTTTTAAAAAAGTCATAAACAAATTGCAAGCTACAGATTTATGTATTAGAAAATTGAGAAAGAGAAGGCTTTTAGAATGTTTTAGAAATACCAAAAATCTTAAAATCTGGTGGACGCCGCGAATTTGATGAAACTCCGATTAACTTAATCGGTGATGAATTCATTAAGCGATTTTTTTAATGTAAAATAATTAATTTCTCGTCATTTAATATAGAAAAGAAATATTAGGATAAGGACAGCGATTGTGTATTTCGAATATTTTGTAAGTAATTCGGCTGGTTAAATTAATCTAAGTCCGAATTTGAAGTTATCATAAAATAAACATTGTAGCACGTAATATTGTAGCACTATATTTAAACTTCGTTTGAAACGCGAAATGCGTAGAAAATGTATTTTTTTTTAATATGTTTGGCATTCTTTTGGAAACTTAAATTCTCTTACATCAGCATTTTTCATATTATTTAATTTTACGCATATTTTATAATATATTATTTTTGTTTCTCTTTTAAAAATCGAAAATGCAAAATTACTTCACATCTATTACGATGCGACATTTGATCGAAATATTTCTTTCTTAATATTTATAATTAAAATCTGATCGAACAAAACATAGAACAATATAAAACAAATTTTGCAGAAAATTCATGTTTTTTTCTTTTACAAAAATCAGCTAATCTCCCAGAATCTGTAATCAATGCTTTGCCGAAAGATTTGAATACTGGAATTTATTATGGTTGGGCATCCTTGCATGGAAAAGTTTATAAAATGGTCGCAAGCATAGGATGGAATCCGTATTACAAAAATGAGAAAAAGTCAATGGTACGAAAAATAATTTCAAGATATAAAAGACTTCTTGCTAATTAAATCTAAAATAGGTCAGTTATCTTAATATAAATTATATTATAATTGTCACTATTTAAATAATTATAAAATATTTTATTATATTTAAAAAATATCTTAGTATGTTAGGTAAATACAAATTATAATTATTTTGCAGGAAGTTCACCTATTACATAAATTCCAAGGAGATTTATATGGTGAGGAGCTCAAAATTATAATTGGCGGGTATATAAGAGAAGAAAAAGATTTCTCTTCTTTAGGTAATGGACACTATCATAATAATGACATGAATATATGTAAATTATAAAAGGATTACTATTTTTTCAAAGTAATTCAAATGGCTATTCAAATGGCTACTTTAAAATCGCTATTACTAATACTTTAGAAGATGATTTTATATTACTTATTATTACAGATGAACTCATCACAGAGATAAAGAATGATATTGCAATCGCGGAGCATCAATTGGAAGAACCTGTTGTAAATAAGCTGAAAAATGATGACTTTTTAATGATTAATAAAGCAAATCCTTAATAAGAAAAATGTAAACCTTTGTCTGATAAAGAAAATATTTTTGTTACTTTTAAGAGTTGCATATTTAATAATCCTCTGCCGGTAAAATGGAATTTTATCTTTCATCAGCACCCTGGATCTCTGAATTTCAATACAAATTTTTAATATTGTTCCAAACTGTATAAAAATCTGAAAAAATTCTGGCACTTGTCAAAGCTTTAACAAAGTCTTCTTGCTTCGTTTGACTACGGCCTGTTTGGTTTAATAAAACATTTCTTGCGAGGATGATAAAACTGTTGAACAAGTTAAGGCTTGTCGTGAATTCTTCGCGTATAAAGAGTCCGAAGGTACTGAGATCAAATCCAGCAGTTAACAGATTCATAACGAATTATTGAACGTGTCGGTTTGTATTTTGAGGAATAACAATTGTCATTTTTTAGTAAATTTGTATATAAAAACCGAAGAATTATTCAGAACTTTTTTGACAATTTAGTATAATATAAAATAATATAGAGAAAATGTATGTGTGTGAGATAAGAAAATACTATTTCCCTCTACACAAAAATACAATCATTATTTTATTATCCTATTAATATTCAGCATTAGGTTATTTAGATGAATCTGGATTGATACTCTTTGCATCTGTCGTATTTGAAGAAGATGAAGGAACTGGTGGAAACCAATGTGTATTCGTCATCAACATTGTTGGCCAAGCTGAACAAGAAGGCATGTACACATTGGGACGATAATTTATCCCTACGGACAAACACATAATATTGATTCGGAGGAACACCGAAGAGGATTATAAGATATCGATTTTGTGCTATTACTTTTGTTGCTATTACTTTAGAAATTAGGCTCAATACCTTGATAATATTGGTGTGCGCTGTCCAAATTACTTGGATTGCCATACTGTGGCAAACGTGGTCCGCTAAATGTTGGTCTGTAGCCTGCATATGGTCTGTTGGACATTGGATACATGTTTTGTGGAATTGGTTGCCAATAAGCATTATTTTGATATGGATATTGTGGCCAAGCATTATAAGAGTATGTTTCATTCTGTGCAGAATTAAAATGACTACCACCACTCCAATTTTGCTGCTTCTGTTTATATCTTTCGGATTGAACTTTTCTATTTCTGTTCCACGGATGATTTGATTGCCAACCCATTTCTGTATTGCGAGAATCTAAAAATCAATTAGCAAAAATTATTAGTTGTTTGTAACACACACACAACCTATACTGATCTTGAAATTAATATATTTACCCATCCGACGACGTTTCTGCGAATTCTGGCCGTCAGAACCTTTCTGTTTCAGATTTTCGTAATAAGCTTGTTCTTCCTCATCGTCTGAAAATGCCGGTGCCTCGTCGTCACCAATTGCATCGCAAGCTTTTATCCTGAAAGAAAACATTTATTTTAATTAATTTACTTATTTGAATATACAATATTACAATCGCATGTAACATGCTATATTCATTAAAATACCAACTTTGTCAACTCATGTAAGAAAACAAGAGATGTGTACTCCGAGTTCGGGCAATAATACACCTGCATACCCACTTTAACATCATTATCCTGTATATGTTTAGCATCATTGAAACGAACACAGTAATATGGTTCGTTCACAGAACCAAATACATCGAATATTTTACCGAGCGCTTTTGTTCCTTTGTTTACGAATAAAACTGTGTCCAGATTGAGTGTAACCTCACCAGGATTTGGTTTTACGATTACTAATTGTTCTACAATCTTTTCAATCTGAAATGTTGAAATAATCGAGATTTGAGTATTTAGAAATTATTTTTTGTTCTCTTACGGTATTAATTTATTTTACACCTTCTTAGATATCCACAAAAGTATACGTGAACGGTACAAGTAAAATGTCTATTATTATTATACATTCATAACGGCTGAATTATATTTTATCACTTTATGAACATATAATATACACACTTGCAATCACGGAGGCTCACATAGGCATTTTACTTGTATTAAATTTATTCTTGGGGTTAAAAATATTAATTTATTTTAATTAATATATATTAATGTATATGCACATATATAATTAATTTATATTAATTATACCTTGCCTAATGGATTACATAAAACTTCAGGGACACTAATTTTTAAGTCTTCTATGGGTGGAAGATCATCTAATTCATTTTGTATATGATTTTTTTTCTTTGATACGTTTACTACCCTTTCTTTCTTTCTGAAAATTAACATAATTCAAAAGTTTACGCTCTCATATAAATAGAGAAATTAAATATATATATTATAATTTCATTTTTATGAAAAGATAATAGTACCTGTTGTTAATATTTACATTATCTGGTTCACTGTCGCTGCTACTATCACTGCTGCTGCTGCTACTACTGCTGCTGCTGCTGCTACTGCTACTACTGGTACTGCTATCAATACTACTATTAGAATCATCTTCACTATCAATTTCGTCACATGATAACTGTTTTTCGATTGTACGATATTGCTGTAAATTCTGTATTTGTGACATAGTATGTTGATTTTCAGTTGCAGTATTTGTTCTTATCTCTTCTACATCTGAATCTGTGTCTTCATATTCTACAGCAATAATGTTAAGAGAAGACATTCCATTGTTTCCTGTCAAATAGATACAATTAAAAAAATTATATATACAGGATACTGCAATATAAATATTTTTTGTAATTTCATATGTACTTATAGTATATTTTTGTGCATTATAAATAAGATATATAAAAAATTGATAGATATACATAAAAAAGTAGATGTACATAAAAAATTTTTATTAATAAATCAATATACATTTGTACCTATTTGTTTTTGTAGTGATGGATTGTTTACTTGTATCTTGTTATTATGAACATTTAGTTCTGTAACTTGATTAATTACATATTTATTTTGTAGTATGTTAGTATTATTTGAGATATTAGACTTTATAATTTCTGGAGATTTTTGTAAAGTTTCTTGTCTAACTGTTTCAGGTTCTACATTCTCACAAACAGATATATGACACTCAGTTGTCTCATTTTCCTTTGAAGTACATTGGATAATATTTTGAATATCAGCAGATACATCACAGCTATTAATCATGTTTTCTATCTTATTTGCATCTAATGTTATCATTGGGTTAAGTTTATCACAATCATTTTCTTCATTTAACAGAATCTCAGTGACTATTTTTTCTAACTTTTCATCGGAGATCGTTTCATCGTGTCCTTTGGAAGATTGTTTGTCTTGTAATACTTCAGCTTCTTCTTTCGACGATTTTTCACTATGCACTAATTCCTGAGACGTTAATAATTCTATCTCTTTATGGAACTTTTTATTTTCTACTTCTGGTGCTAACATGTTCGTTAGTATGAACAATTTTATTTTCTCTTCATAAACAATTTTATTTTCATCTATATCCGTTGCTATTTCCATTTTAACACAAGCCACGTGATACCACACAAAATATATTATAAACTTCTGTATATAAAGATCGTAAGTCAATATAAGTCAACAGTGTTGGTTATTTGTATTCTACTCCTGATTAAATTTTTATTCTTTCGTACAATTATATCATCAGATAAATAAAAATAATATTTAAGGAAAGAAGAAAAATCTCACGTATTAATATTGTATTTACATATAATCACACGTGCTGAATTATTTAAGGACATTTAGGGGTTTAGGGTTTAGTTTAGGGTGTATCCACAGTCCACTCACTTGTATAGCCACATGACATGTTCTTAGGCCGGAATCAGACTACGCATTGAAGATTGAGGTTGAAGATTGGAGATTGAAATTTGACCAATAAGGACAAAGAAATTTTAGCCCCTTTCGTTTCGATTGGTCAAATTTGAATTTTTCAATCTTCAATCTCAATCTTCAATGCGTAGTCTGATTCCGGCCTTAGAGAAAATAGGCCTGTTCTTTTTGACTAAACTTTTGCACCAGTCCATCTTTCTTCCTTTTCTCTCTAGGAGGAAAAAAGAGGAAGAAAGATAAACCGGTGCAAAAGTTCAGCCAAAAAGAACAGGCCTAATTATCCAATCACATTAGGCCGGAATCAGACTACACATTGAAGATTGAGGTTGAAGATTGAAGATTGAAATTTGACCAATAAGGACAAAGAAATTTTAGCTCCTTTCGTTTCGATTGGTCAAATTTGA